TTCAGAACAAGGACAGGACTTATGAGACCACTGAAAAAATTTCTTTGATAAGAATTTTAAGCATTCAATCCTAACTCTTAAGCCTAGTGAAAGGAATTTGAAGGGAATCATTCAAGTTTGAAATGTTTTCTTAAAACTGTTTTTGGTAGGAAGCCAGTTGTTGTAGTTTAGATCTAAAAGGGCCCCCCTAAAGTCTCATGTTGAGAAGGTGATTGAATGATGCAGGCAGTACAGCTGACTTGCTTTTAGCAGAGGCCTGGTCCAAAGGGGCAGGTTACTGGGGGTGGCCTGGGTCATCTCCCTCCCAAGTTCTTCCCTCTGCTTGCTACTTCTTGGCTGCCATAACAAGAGATGCTCTCCTGTACCATGCTCTCCTGCCTTGGAGTCTGCTGACTATGGACTGAAACTAACAAAATAAACTGTCCCACAAGTTGTGGGTGTTGGTATTTTGCCTCAGCAGTGAGCAGTGACTAACACAATAGGAGAGGGATGTTGCCCTGAGATCCTACTGTACTTCTCAGTTTGTTCAGACCAAGCATGGGGGCCACCCAGGAGAAAACACCAGCATGGAATGACTTTGATCCTGCCAATGTCCTAAAGAAAACCTCAGGATAAAGAGGCTGGATGTTAGGGGCTAAGGAAGATACAAGACGGTTTTGAACTGCTGAACTGTGGTAGTTCCATCACATTTTAGGGAACTTGAGAGGTTAGTAATCCCACTGATAACCTCCAAAGAGGCCACACACAGGTTCCTTGACAGTTTAATCACCTGTGGAGTCCAGACTAAGTCACCCAGCCATGAAAGAATTAACCCATCTCCGCACCCAAGCATTTTTTGTTTGTTTTTTGAGACAGGGTCTCACTATGTAGTTGAGACTGACCTGGAACTCACTATGTAGCCCAGGCAGGTCTCGAACTTGCAGCAATACTCCTGCCTCAGCCTCCCGAGTGCTGGGATTATAGGCATGCGCCACCACACCTGGTACTGAGCACATTCTTCATCCTACTGACATTTGGGCCCTGAGGAATGAAATGCAGGTCACAAGAAAAGATACACAAGGAGAAAGCTACTGCCAGCTGCTAGCCTAAAGCAAGCCTATGCTGAGAAGGTTGTCAACTTTAAGATTTGACAGCATATAGGACTGGACATTTTATTTATTGATATTAAAAACATTTTTTTCAACTGAACATGAAGTTTTTATTATGTGTCAATGACAGGAAAATACATGGGTCAGAGAAAGTCTTCATCTATGGCAGTGATGGCAAACCTTTTAGACCTTTCAATAATATCAACAGCCCACTGTGACATGCAAGCCAAAGGTTCACCACCACTGATCTAGGGCCACCGAGACATACTTATGGTAAAAAGGATATAAAAACAGATGATTTGATCTCAGTCCACACACCAAGCCTACTCTATAAACACGCTCAGCTGAGGACCATGTTTTCATTCCTTCAGTCAAAACATTCCTTTAATTCTTAGTCTTGGAAGCTTTTGCTTCACTGCTTCCATTCTTGGACCATGAGGTTACTCAGCCTGCCCCACACTTCTCATGTTCCAAATTCTCCCTTCCAATTCATTCAGCTTTCTAAACCTCCTCACTGGAGTTCCAACACTGCCACTAACACAAAATACCTGTCTTTACACTCCATCATCTGAAGCCATTCACTGTCTCCTATACACATGCCCAAGTACGTGCAAATGTGACTGAAATCTCTAACAAGAGCACTGACTAGAAAGAATTGGTAAAGGAGCACTATAGCAAAAGTCAACCTATGTGGGTAGTCATCCAAAAATATCTAATTTTTTCAAGCTAAATTCATTTTTCATTACCCAATCTCACCTAAACCTCTGACAGACTTAAAATTATTTCACCAAAAAATTTTTACTCTTCTTTTTGGCCTCAACTACAAGATTGAATGCCTTATCAATTTACTTTATTATTGAGTGACTCAACCTTATGCTAGTTTCCTGGCTAATTGTGCCGTCACTGGTATAGCCTGTTAACCCTTGAGGTGACAGAGGCTATCTGGCTTTGCTTCTGCGTGGATAGGCACAGAGATACATCACACATGCTGAACAAATCAACTGTTTCTGATGGGCCATCTCAAATCTTCAAGCCCCTCTCCATTACTTTTTCCTTTTGGGGGGTTATTACATTCCTAAATGGTTTCAATTATGGAGTCAAGAAGTTCAGTGAATTGCTCCTTCTCGCAAGTAATCTTTTAGGGTGACTGAACCCAATGCCAGCTAGCAGGCACTCTGTCACTGAACTATATCCCCAAAGCCCCCTACACCACCCTTTTAAGTATTCTGAGTCAGGGTCTTACTAGCTGCCTAGGCTGGCTCTGAAATGGCGAGTTTCCTGTCTTCCTAGTTGGGACTATAGGCATGTACTACTATCTCTAAATGTGTAGCAAATCTTACTACCACTAATCTTGTTTGTATCTTCAGTATTCTAATTTAAAATCAGTCTTTTTTTTTTTGAGATGGGTTCTATGTAGCCAGGCTGGTCTCGAACACACACACACACACACACACACACACACACACAAATCAGTCTTTTATAATTATGTTCACCTTGAAATGTGGATCTCTGGTCCTGGCTTTCAATCTGAACCGCCACTAGGTTTACTTGTTTCCTAGGTATTTCATATCCCATCACGGGTTCAACAACTCCGCCCATCATCTCCCATCTATGTTCCACTTCTCAATGATGTGCCAAACTTGACCTAGCCAGAAATGTAGATTTCTCTCTGCTTTTGAGATCTACTGCATTAAGAACAATTTTTTAAAATCTCAAAATAGAACTCATAGCTGGGCATGGTGGCACACACCTACAATCTCAGCACTCTGGAGGCTGAGGGAGGAGGATTTCCAGAGTTCGAGGTCAGCATGAACTTCCAAGGAAGACCCTGTTTCAAAAAGGTAAGAGCTAGGGCTGGGGATTTAGCTCAGTATTGCCACCACCTGCCTCATAAGCGCAAGGTCCCAAGTTCGATAACTGGTACCAAAGAAAAAAAAAAGGATAAGAGCTCATATAATCCTTTAAAACCAAAATAGCCACTTTCAATGCCCTTTGAGCCAACTTGTCTTCTTTCAAGGTTGATCTCAATCTTCTAATGCCTTGCTTGTATTTGCAATTTCACTGTTGACACAGATAAGAGACGCTGTTAAGATTATCAAACTGACACAAAAGAAAAAAACAAATAGGAATATGAAACTCATGTAGTATTACATACCATCCTATGAGAAGTGTCAAAATTAAAATACACATGGGAGAAAGGGAAAAGACATCTATGGCCAAACAAATGACTCATGGACACTAGGTTCCTGAGGTCCTATGTGTCTTCTGTCCAAGAAATGAAACTCATAGCTGTCCAGCTGGGAAACTTGGCAGCTACAAATATTAGTCCGGCCTCCTGGTTCCTATCTTAAATGTAAAAGTGCGACATGGACTCAGCCATCTTTTTTTAGAGGGATCCACTGACCAAATCTCAGTTCTGATTCTCAAGACATCAAATATGCTAGAGACAATATACCAAACAAGATATATTATGTAAAGGTACAAATTCCTAATAATGAATGCCAGTATATTATAGACCTAAAATGTACCAATAAGACGAACAAAACAAAACAAAAAAAAAGGCTTTCCATTGCTTTTCCGTAATTAGCTTTCTCTCTTGTAATTAGACCTTTCTTAACGTATTTCATCACTGTCTACCTTCTTTATGCTTTTCCTGATTGGATTTAATTTCATCTAATCAGATCAGTATCCACTTGCTTCAATGGCTACTATTTACCCCATACCCAGCATTAACCTATTTTAGTGGTCCCTCTATCACTCATTAACTAACCATTAGTAATATAGCAAAATGAGGTTATATCTGAAGGGCAGAATTTCTCAATTGCACAGCAAAATGTAACAAGATTGTTTTTGTAAGGGGTTGAAAATAATTTTATTATCTCAAAGCTAAATTTTATTTCAGTGGTCCTGTAAAAAGCATTTACTGAACTATTCAACTGCTCAAAAGCCCCTAAAAATTACCAGTTTTTCTAGATAATACAGGGATCTATAAAAGAAATTATGAGTGTTTCACATATTGGGAGTTTCATTCTGATCTGCAGGGGATTCTGTACAAATGGCTCCTAAAAAAGGGTAAGGGCAGGAATTAGAACGCTGTCCCTCTTCCACACAGAACAGTTTAAGCATGTTAGATGTTATTCTAAATATGTGACAGCTGGGAATTTAGCTCAGTGGTTCTGCCTCCTGCCCCCCAAAAGAAAAAACAAATAAAAAACCTAAATATGTAAATTTACAATTTAAACAGCAGTTTTGCTTTGTCACTATTTTATGCAGCCATTTCAGCATTTGTGCTCATCTTCCCCCAGAGCAATAGTCCAACAAAGCCTTGCCTCCCCACCTCACCATTTTGAAGATGACAAAAAAAAAAAAAAAACAGCTTTAACACAGAAAAACTAAAAAATTGGCTAAGTTGACCCAGTACCCAGAAGCTGAAGCAGGATCAGTCTGAGGCCTGCCTGGACTTCATAGTGAGTTCTAGGTCAGCCTGAACTACTTAGGGATACTGTCAAAAACAAACAAACAAAATACTGGCCAAGTTGAATGTTAAAACTCCTAAGGAGTTGTTTCACTGTCTTCAGTCTGCAAACCCCAGGGCTTTTTACCTTTTTCTACTCAATTTACTCCACTTGCACAAGGTCTTTTATAGTCACCTCCCTAAAGACATTGCACTCTAGCAGCTTACACACTAAAAGAATGTTTCAAAACAACAGGTGCAACTGTTAACCCAGCACTTTGGAGGCTGAGGCAGGAAGACTAAGGTTCAAGGTCTGCCTGAACTACATAATGAGACCCTGTCTCCAACAAACCAGCCACTTAACCGAATGAGTACATCTAATGTCCCACTCTTCAAACCAGTTAATTCACTGAAATTATTACCCTAATAATTCAAAATACCTTTGTACACCAGATATGTATCTTTTAAAACCAAAGCATTTATTTTGATAACTGTTGAAATCCTCAAGATGAACTGGATGCTGCAACAGCTGCTCTCTTGGGTTTAGGCGTTGTTCCTTCACGGAATCCATGCCTGTAACAAGTTAAAGACAAGAAGTTTCTTTAGCAACAAATACATACACACCTTCTCTTTTTGTTAAGCATCTGAATGAGCTTATCTCAGTAAAATACGAAAATCATTGTTGCATTCATATGTTCAGACATTTATTTTTACATCACAGATAAGCCATTATTTCATTCTGCCTAAGATCATAGTTTGCAATTTCATGCCTCAGTAGCTTACTCAGCTATATCTGTCAGTCATTATCTGCCTACTGGTGGCTGAGAAACGTGGCTATTTGTGAAAATGGTTCCTTATAAGGGATAGACAGATCCTAGCAATCTTCCCTTACCAAAGGAAAAACAAGACTTAAATAGCAGGCATTTTAACTGCTTAAATAAGAGCATTATACTTCAATTAATATTCTAACAGAGATGTATTTACCCTTTTGAACATCAGTGAATTGAGAAACAGGTTAATCAAGCCTAAGTTCATGGTCTCAGCTTTTACATTACACTAGCAAACTATTCCACACTAAGTCCACATAATGACCATAAAAAAATTAAATGTCATTTGATCATGGTAAGCCTTGTGACCATTTAAAATTCCATGCTGAGAATTAGGTAGAGGCTTCTTGATAATTCTTTACTTCAGAATTTCTGAAACAACACAGTAACGGAAGTACTGGCTTTAGTAAAACCTGTTTCATTTTTTCAATCTCATCAGAGTAATTAATATACAAAGCACTGGAAAAATGCAACTACATTTTGGGCACTGGTATTGTTGAATTCTTAAGAAACCCTAGGGCCCAAACTTTGAATAGGACTCTAAGGTATATACTTACAAAGGCAATTAGTAAAATGTCAGCTCACCAATAAAGGTTCAATCAATGACTGACCCCTTTCCTTATTTCTGCAACACCATATCAACAAATTTGGGTACAAATTAGTTAGGTGCAGTGTCAACATTTTGAGGAATATAGCCCAAATATTGTCTCAGATATTTAATTCATATTATTATTTACTGATTTTAAAAAATAGCTTCCAACGCCTCGTTCCTACTCATCATCAGAATAATTTAGCACAAATAAACATAAAGGTTCTCATCCAAGCCCTTAGGACCCATTATATTGAATCACAAAAGCTGTACCTGAATCTGCGATACACAATTTTTAGGTGCCTCATTCTCCCAGTTCCGGTGGTATTTCGCCTTTTAGCCTTTGCACTCCAGTTATCTAAAACACAAAATTCCAAATAAAATTTTTCTCCCTACTCACTCATTGGCCGATTTAACAGCACTTCGTTTTATGCCACGTACCCACTTAAGTGCAATGAAAATCTTTAGCCGGCTTCATAATTAACACTTACACTTTCTCTTGCGCTTGGCAGGGTAGCCACATTTGCCACACGTCGACTTCTGAAGGTGGTAGGCCTTAGAGCCACAGCGGCGGCATAACGTGTGCGTCTTATTACGACGCTTTCCAAACGATGACGTTCCCTTCGTCTACAAATTAGAAGGATAAACAATTCTGAAACCTAGAAATTTCAATACGCATTGCGACGTTTTCTGGGAAACCATCTATTGGTAAGATTTAAAGGCAATTACAAGAGCCAAAACTGGTCAAGTTTCTAATTCTTCGTACCTGCCAAGTTACAGAGTACTACGATAACTACATCACGTTATCCGAAGCCCTCCTCTGATGAGAGCTGCAGTGTTCTGCCAGGATTACATGACAGCCAACATCCCCAATTCGACTATGTGTGTGTGTTTGTGTATATATATTTTCTAAAGAAATACAATACCAGAGACCAAAGAATGTGCCTACCCCAAAACCCGAGGGCTCTTGTCAGGAACCACCATCAATTCCTCTGTTACAGAGCCAAATGCTCTCTCAGACTTCGTCCCTCAGTCTCCTATCCGAAGCAGAGCTGCGTGAGCCCCACAAAACGGAAGGAGCCTAGTGAAGATTCAGCTCCAAGACTGTGGCTGGGCCCACCACCTAGGAGTTATTCTTCTGGCTCTTGTGGGTCATCGCATGCTCCTTTCTTTCCCGCCAGCTTCCCTTATTCGAAACCTTGCTGGTTCCCCACGGATAACATGCAGCATACCACAAAGAAAGAGGATGGAAACAGATTCGGAGAGACCCTGCAAACAACTCACCATCTCGCTTGTGCCGCCTAGACCAAAGAGACCGGAAGAGAAAGCACTTCCGCTATAACGCGCTTAGAAGCTTCCGCCCAGGGAACTACTTCCTGCAGGGCGCGGTGCATCATTCTCAAGCGTCCGTCGCGACAATGTGGGTGGGGTCAAGAGGAGACTGCAGATCCCGGGAGATCCAATGGTGATGGGCGTGCGCTATCCCTACCAGCCTGACTTCCGAACGGCTTCTGGGCACTGTTGAGGCTTTTCGCTCACTGCTCCTGCTTCCACTGGCAGGTTCCCCACGTTATCGGTCGGCGGGACCTGATGCTGCAACGTTGATTCCAGAATCTGGAGTGCGGGCTGGCCCAGTTCGGGCCACACGCTCCAGCACGGCGCTCAGGCGTGCGTGTCGTGAGGCTCTGGGCTGACTGGCGTCCCTGAGAGAGGGCTTCGGAGTGCAGAGAGCCGGGGTGGCCTTCCAGGGCTGAGCGTAATGCCAAGGGAGAGAGAAAGTAGTTTTTATACTGGGAGAGTGTAGAGGCCAATTGTTTAACCTCAAATTTTGTTGTGCTGGGGAGTCACACAGGGAATTTGTTTTATACAATTTCTAATACCGTACAGGCAGGAAATGTGACAACGGGTTAGGGTAGGACCTGGAAGAGATGCTAACAGACAAAAAACAACCCTCTGTGGATAGTTTTGAAATTGGTAGTGCCCAGACAACTTCGATTTGTAACCTTTATCCGACAAAGCCCCAACCCTTGCAAAAACAATTCAAGCATAAGTATATAATTTGCTTATTTCTGAAGCAAATTTGAGAATACCTGGCCCGTCACACGCAGCTGCAGCAAATTGATAGCCTGCAGAGCAAGATGAACACAAGGAATCAGGTTCGATTTTGACACTTCCACAATTCATTGGTGCCCAATAAGTAGTAGGGTCTTTCATAAGAGCAGGGAGTGGGAGTAGGATATAATTCTGTCCTCGTGCAAATGGTAGGTTAGGCATGGGAGAGGAAGAGAAAGCAGAAATTTGAGTGATTAGACAGACTTTCTGGATTAGGTACTGTATCAGTTTTTGTGTTGCTGTGATAACAAGTTGTCACAAATTTAGTGGCCGAAAACAACACAGCTTTACTAAATAGGCATAAAGTTTTTACTATGGAAAATTAATGAATTCTAGTGATCTGAAGTATAATATTATACCTATAATTAACATACTGTATTGCACACCTCAATCTGTTGAGAGTGGAACTCATGGTAAATGTTCTTACACAAAAAACAAATATATAAACGTTCCAGTGGTTGTAAGCACAAGAAGGGTTTTACTGTACTAAAACTGTAGCTCTGTGGTATAGTGCTTGCTTAACTTTCAAATTTTCAAGTGCATTAGGCTCTGGGTTCACTAGCACAGCAAGAAAAAATGTTGATAGGACTGGCTTCCATTTTGAAGTCTGTGAGAGAGATCCTGTTATCTTGCCTTTTTCACAGTATAAAAAGGCTCAAACTTTGATTTATTGTTTATTTCCCCTTTCAAAGTCTTTCTCACATTGCTTTACTCTTCTGCCTGCCTCCCTCTTGTTTTTTTTTTTTATTTTTTAATTTTTTTTAGATAGTCTTATGCAGTTCAGGCAGCCCTCAAATTCTCAATGTTCCTCAGCCTCCCAAGTGCTGGGATTACAGGTGTGCCCTCACCATGTCTACCTTTCCCTCTTCTAAGTTCCCTTATGATTATACTGGACCTACCTAGGTAATTTCGGGGGGGGCAGTAAATGTTTATTTTTTATTAGTATATGTTTGTACTATGTGATATTTATATTCCTTTTGGGGAATTGGTGTGTGTACCTAGTACATCTTAATTCCTTTTTTTAATTCCTTTTTCTTTCCCTTCCTCTCCCATCTGTCTCTTCATCTCCCTTTTTTGTACATAATTTCTTTATCTCAAAGCCAGCTAATTAGCACCCTGAATTCTATCTGCAACCTTTGTTGTCATTTTCCACATAACCTAATATATTCACAGATTGCGGAGGTTAAGACAATTATATTTTTTCTGTCTACTATACAGTCTGGAGAAATGGAATCAACGTAGAAAGGGTAGGACAAAAAAGGAAGGAGGAGGAGGAAGAGGAATAAGAAGAGGAGGAGGAAGAAAAGAGGAAGAAAACAAGAAGAGGAGGAGGAGAAAGAAAGAAAGAAAAAGAAAAGAAAGAAGGAAAGGAAGAAGATACCTAAGGAACCAGAGATAAATAATCCGTAGGGAACCCAGAGCACAGAGTGCTCAGGGATGGATTTCCATACTGTGTGCATTGGCATCTACCACTTCCAACATTATGTATCATTGACACTGTCTGTTACCAGGAACTTGGCCAACACTCTGAATTTAGAGCCCCACTAATGTATTTTCCTTTACCCACCCACTACCAAGAGGCTGTTAAAAACAGAAAAATTTAAAAAAAACAAACAGAAAAAGTATTCATGATTTGACTGAAATGTGAGGGTAGTTATTCTGTGCCCCCTCCTCAAAGCACAGAAACACTTTCATAGGGGTAGAGCAAAAACCAATATATGTACAATGGTTCAGCCAAGCTTTGGTGCACCGGCAGGCCCAGAAAAATGTTGAAAGTCTGATTGATTCTGTTGAAACTTCCTTGGCACCAGGACTGGGGTAGAAGTTTCTCCAGCACAAGGAAGCTGAGAAAGAACTTGGTTTTTTGTTTTGTTTTGTGGTACTAGGGATTCCTTTTTTTAAATCTTGAGACAGGATCTCTATTATTGCTAAACTATCATCCTCTTCTTCCTGTCTCAGCCTCCTAGAGTGCTAGAATTACAGGCATGAACTTTATTCCTTGGTAGAGCATCCTGATTTTTAAAGCTCCATTTCAACTTGTTGGTTTCAATATTTTCCCCCCTCTTATTTGTCCATCTATCAGAATGACTTCATTTCCTGGTTTTGAGGAAACAGAAACAATGGCTATGGGGAGTGCTCCCTCAGAGACCCTAGAAAAGCAACAAAAAAAGTTGCTTAAAATCCTCCAACAAGATCCTGATACTATTTTAGAGAAGTTAACCTCTCAGAGGTTGATTTCTGAGGATGAGTATGAGACTAGACAGAGTTGTGGATCCCCTGAAGAAAAGTCAGAGGCCATTAATTTTAGTACAGAAGAAGGGAGAGGTGAGCTGTCAGAATTTTCTCTGATGCTTATTTAGTACTATTCCAGAGTCTGCTGCCACTTGGGGCTTAAGTAATGGTAAGTTGAATGTTTATGGTTTGGGGGTTATGAAAGAGGTCTGTCTGTCTTTTTTCCCAGAGGTAATTTTCACGAAAATATCAAATAGGGAGGTGTGCAGCATTTCCAAAGCAGGGAACATTGTTTAGGGGGGTTGGTAAATTGTTCAGACTGTACCAAAATTTTCAGTTCTTTTAGTGCTACAATAAAGTTCTCATTGTTCTGGTAGTGACAGCCTGAACTTCTGTAGTAGGAAAGACAATAGTGTTAATAATGGCATAATTGAGTTTCTTTTTTTTCAAATAAGTAAATTCACGGATATTAACAATTGCAAAACCTCAACCAGCATCTTTCATTAAGATAGCCATTCTGAAAATATAGGAAAAATAATTTTTAGCATACCTAGATGGCTGATTATTAATTTCAGGAGAAATTTAAATACTAATTCATTTTAAAAATATTGTTTACCTACCATATTTTAATTGATACATAATAATTATACATATTTATGGGGCTCAGTGTGATATTTCAATATGTATACAATGTATAAAGATCCGATCCATGATATTGGCATATTCATTACATTAAACCCTTTTCATTTCAAAGTCGGCTGTGCTTGCTATTTTGATATGTATACAAATGCTAACTCTTAGATGGTTCAAAAATAACTAGAAGCAGAAGAGGGAGTGATTATTTCAGAAAGTATTGCTTAGAATTGTGGAAATTACCACTAGAGGCAGTGGTAGCTCTTTTTTAAAAATGGAATTTAAAAGATACTCAGAATTTAAGGGAGATTAAAGGGGTAGGTATTCTGATTTAAAAGCAAATCTTTTTTTTTTTTTTTTTTTTTTTTTTTTTTTTTTTTGAGGCAGGGTCTCACTATGCAGTTGAGACTGACCTGGAACTCACTATGTAGTCCAGGCTGTTCTCAAGCGCATAGTGATCCTCCTGCCTCAGCCTCCTGAGTGCTGGGATTACAGGCATGTGCCACTACGCCTGGCCTCTGAAAAGGGAATCTTAATGATACCTAGTGTTGGACAAAATAATATGCTTATAAAAATAGGCTTTATTATATCTAGGGTGTACTATTCTAAATTACAGCTCTTTGTTTATGAATTAGGAGCTACTTAGAGCAGATTTCACTAAAAATGGTCCCAGGAAATCTGACTTGAGGATCACAGTAAGTTCACAACTAAATACTTTGTAAGATTCAAAATTTCTCTTTCATTTATCCTGTGAAGTTTCTATGAGAGACAAACTTTTGAGCAAGGCGTTGTACCATCTGATTTTTTTCTGTGGGAAATAGTTCTGACAGTTGACTTTTTGCCATACAAATTAGATAGGAGGCAATAGGTATTCTTATCTTCCAGTGAGACAAACAAGAGGGATTTTAGGCTTATAGCTTGAGCTTCTTGGAAGGTAGAGTCAGAAGTATGGATTATGTAGACTTAGAATTGGTGGTAATATAGTGAAATCCTGTTTTAAATAAAAAAGCAGAGGTGATATTTTTGAGGATTTAACACTCAATGTACATTTTCTTTTTATTATTTGTGGGAAAACAAATAACCAAATCTTGTTCTTTTCAGAATTTTTAAAACAGAATGTAACAGCTTTTCAGTCTGAGGAACTAAGCAAGAATTCAGAAGATATTTCTTCTCCTGGAAAGAAAAAACCTGAGAATCTTGAGATCACTCTGTCCTCCATAGAGAAAGAACACTTAAACTTGAAAAGCTCTGAGCTTTCCAGGGACAAGAACACGAGTCTTAGGCAAACTGTTTTGTTCTCCAGAAACAATAGAAAGCAAATGCCACACCAAAAGTCACATTACTATATTCATTTGAGTAAGCTGAATGTGAAATTCCAGCAACTGTTACATACTTGAGGGATGGACAAAGATATGAGGAGCCAGGTGATTCTTTATACTTAAGCAAAGAGGAATATCAAGAATATTTTGGATACTGTAAAGATGCAGAGGAGGAAGAGGAAGATTATAATGATACAGATCGCATTGTATATAGTGGTGTAGAAGACTCTTTAAGTATTAAAACCACAGGCTTCTCTGATGAAGAACAGAATTATAAGGATTTAGAAACCAACATTTCACTGGAGGAGGAAGAGAAATGTATGGAAGGTATGTATACAATGTGCATTGTTAGGCAACAACTTATCAAAAATTAATAAGCATGGGCCGGGGATTTAGCTCAGTGATTCTGCTGCCTGCCTCGCAAGCATAAGGATCCAAGTTCGATCCCTGGTACCAAAAAAAAAAATTAATAAGCTTGCCATGATCTAATGGGGACGGGATGATAGGACACAGCTATCAGCAGAAAATCAGTGAATCAGAAATTCCTTTAACATCTCTTGATTTGGAATGTCTTAGAGATGGGTGTTGATCTAAAGGAACACCCAGGACTTTGGAAATGGTGGACCATATTGTTGTGCTTCTGTATCCAAGGAAGATGAATCCTGGACTCCCCTTGGATTCCAAAGTCTGTGGATGTTCAAGTCCTTTGTGTAGCTATGGTATCTGCATATAACCTGTGCACTTCTTCCTGTATATTTTAGTATTACTATTTTAAACATTTTTATTTGTAATTAACAAGTTACATATTTATGGGGTTCACAGTGACATTTTGATACATGTATAATGGGTGAGCTGATCAGGGTGCTATATCTGTTGTCAAACACGTCTTTTTTTGCGGGGGTGGGTGGCAGGGATCATACTTGGGATCTTGCGCTTGCGAGGCTGGTGGCAGTACCACTAAGCTAGCTAAATCCCCAGTCCTCAGACATGTGTTTTCTTTGTGTTGGGAACATCAAACTCCTCTGTACTAGCTCTTTGAAATGCTCTGTTAATTTTTTTCCACCACAGTTATCCTATTGTGCTACAGAACATTAGAAGTGCTCTCATCCAACTGCTCTGCTGTCCTGGTTAACCATCTTCTCTCCATCTTTTCCATACTGTAAGTCATTTCTAGATTACTTATAGTACCCAAAGTAGTATATATGTAAATAGTTGTTATATTGTATTGCTTAGGAAATAATGACAAAAATAATATACATGTTAAGTACAGACACAGTTTTTTTCAAATATTTTTGACCTGCAGTTGGCTGAATCTGCAGATGTAGATTGATATCTTTGGATACAGAGGACCTACTAAAAAAAAAAGCAAAAGCAGATAGTGACTATCAGCTGATAAATTTCTGCAGCCACCTTCCATCACACATGTAAAGAGTTTCAAGCCATTAATTTTAGGAGGTACCATCTGTTCCTCAAGTCAAACCACTTTAGTCATTTTAGTGCCATTTTGGCCAGAAAACATTCGGATTATAGTTCTAACCGCTGAAGTGGAAACACCTAGTAGAGAAGCATATAGTGAATAATTAAGAACCTCGAAGTATTATTACATATCTCAATCTTTTCTATTCATTGTTTTTTGTTTGTTTGTTTTTGAGGCATGATCACACTATGTAGTCCAGGCTGACCTTCAACTTGCAATTCCTACCTCTCCCTCCCAGGTTCTGGAATACTGGGATACTAACACGCCTGGTTTCATATTACCATCTTGTTTTGTTTGTTTATTTGTTTGGTACCAGGGATTGAACTCAGGACCTTGCTCTTGCAAGGCAGGTGCATGCCACAGAGCTAAATCCCCAATAATCTCATATTACCATCTTGATGAAAACATTTATATTAGCAAAGTATTTTGTAATTGGATATTTCTTAATGACAATTCAAAAAATAAGAAAATTTTCATTCATATTGTCTGGGAAAATAAACACCACTGAATTCTGAGTAGAGAATGAAAATGTAACTGCCATCTCACATTCATCCCAAATTATGAGGATTTATAATCCACTCTGGATAAAAAATGGAAACAAAGACTTTGTAAATAGGGAGTGATGGAGAGGTTGAAGTGAGGGGAGGGAAATGGGGAAAAATAAGAACAAAGATAGATTATGTAAAGATGCAAATTTCCAACTATAAATGTCATTATATTGTATACCTAAAATATACCAATAAAATTAATTTTTAAAAAATTTAAATATCTAAGTGATACTAGTCTATCCAAGCCATGGAGTATCATGAAATGGCTAAAATCATTCAGGAAGATTTCTATTTATGTTGATTTTGAAAAGTTTGCAAGAAATATTATTAAGTGAAAAGAAGTTGAACCATTTGTTTAGTATTCTATAATTTTTCTAAAAATAAAATAGTATCAAGTAAAACTATATATTTTAATATATGCATGCATACTTGTGCACTCAGGATGGGAAGGAAACATACTTACCATACTGACATATTTGGAAAGGGAAATGGAACAGGAAAGGTTAAGAAATTAGACCTTTTTTTTTTTTGTAGTACTATTTGTCAGTTACTTATTTAATTTTAAAAGTCAGTGAAAAACACTTACATTCTGAACATGATATTCACTTTCTTTTACTTTTCAGAAAGAAAAAAAGTATTTAAAGATGTCCTGTGCTGTTTGAATACGGAGAGAAGCAGAACGCTTCTGCCAGATTTTGTTAAACAATTTGCTTTAGACCGAGGATACAGGTGGACACCTGAGACTCCAGGAGACTTGGGCTGGAATTTGCTGATGAAAGTTCAAGCACTGGATATGATGGCCAGAGATTCAATCTTCAGGCACCAGATTCTGGATGAAAACATCAAAGAGGAATTACTGATTGGAATGGAAAACTTGGAAATTCAAGACATACAAATCATTCATCCCCTCGATGTCCTTTGTGTTTGCATGCTATGTTCAGATAGCTCTTTTCGATGTGAAGGGATGCCAAATATGTATCAGTGCCAATTTGCTCTTCCTTTGCTACTTCCAGATGCTGAAAATAACAAAAGCATCTTAATGCTAGGGGCCATGAAGGACATTGTGAAGGAGAAGTCAACACAGTCCTCAAGAAGGCCCACAGGGAATGCAAAACAGTTTCTGAGTCTCTGAAGATGCCTGTTATCTCTTTTGTGCGTCTGGGACACTGTAGCTTCTCCACGTCCAGAATCCTCAACATACTGCTTAGTCCTGCCCAAGAGGAATCACACAAAATCTTTCTCCATCAGGATTTTTCTGGTCTGGTGCTTCCTCAGCAAATCTCTGATGGCCTGGTTGAGATAACATGGTGTTTCCCTGATGATCTAAACAAAAGCCCTAATTTTTCCCAAAGCCTTTGGCTATGGCCAACCTTCATGGAGATCTTGAAAACTTATAGACACAGTTTGATTTTTTGATATAAGTTTCCTCAGCTGTATTCTTTTTTACTGAGTGCTTAGGTGAGAAGGAATGGGGCTTGATAATGTTTCTAGGAGAAGCTGCCATTGAAAGATGCTACTTTGTCCTCAGTCCCCAAGCCAGAAAGACTGAAGAGGCTCAGATTTTCCAGAGGATCCTGAAATTGAAGCCATCACAGCTACTCTTCTGGGAGGCAGAGGAACCTGGGAATAGAAGGAGTACATGGAGGGCTTCAAGGTGCCTTCCAGGAAGTGATTGATGTCTTCTTCACTCAGAAATTTGTCTGTGGAGGACATGGCCTCCCTCGCCAGGGAGTTGGGGATTCAAATGGACAAAGACTTTGAGAATGCTCAAGGAATGAAAGTTTCCTCTAGTGAAAATACATCTGGTACAGCTAAAGGTGATGGACAACAAAGGCATAGTTAGCCAAAAAGCTCATCTGAAAGCCAAGCTCCAGGGATAATACCTACAAGGGAGTCCAGGGATAGATGTGAAGTCAGCCATAATTTTCAGAATTTTCACCACACTCCAGCATAAATGCCTCATCTACAAAAATCCTCCCTCTTACCAATTGAAGGTAAATTTAGTCATGCTTTCTTGAAAGCCCCTTGGGTTATGGGCTTCCACTTCAGGTCGGGACAGAGGTCCATGTGGTTCTGTCCCTCTCCCTTTCAGAATATAAGGGATCATAGCAGAGGTAAACAATTTGGTATTCAATACTTTCAACCCCAGAGATTTTATTCTGATAAAAGATGCATGGGATTTTCAAGAATGTCTTGGGGAAATCATTTGAATGGAACATTTGGTGAACACCAAGACCGATTTTTTAGCATGGATGGACCTGTCCTGAGAGACCACAAACAATAGGCACTCTCAAAATGTCTGGGCCTGTGGTCTCCCTAGTCGGCCACTCACATTCTCTGGGTTCACAGCTGGCAGAAGCAGTAGGGAAGTTACAGCCCAGGCAGTCCTGTGCCTTGGGAACACAGCTAGCTATAGCAACTGGAGAATTTATGAGACCAACATCCTTTATTACAAATCTTAAACCTCAATCCTTTCAGACCACAGGAGATATGAAAACATTAGTAAGACCTACTTTGCAAAAAGGAACTGATAACACAAGGTAGATCTTCAAATCCAGTTTTCCAAACAGGATCCTTTTCTGTGTCCAAATCCCATCAGCCTGTGCCTTCCCAGGTCAAGCGCTTCTAGCCTATGAAGAGGCACAGCGACACTCAACAACTAGGCCACACACCAAGAGGTCTGACAGGAGACTTTATTCGGGAAGGCAGGTCAGGGACAGAGGAGAGAGGGAGAGAGAACAAAGAAAGGAAGGTCCTTCTATTGTTTTGTGGCTGGGCTATTGCTTATTTATGAGGAATGGGCTACTTTTAACCTACCACAGGCCAGGTTGCCTTTTATGGGCTCAGTCCTACAGAAACTTAGGTTTAACTTCTCTGGACCGCTGTGGCCTTGCGGGGAGGGAAACTAAAGATAAGAGCATGAGGTCATTCTAAGAGGCATGAAGAACCAGGAAAATGCAGCCTATGATGGCGGTGTCAGGTCTCTAACATTCCCCGCTCTTTGGTTTAGATGGAGACAGCAGCCAGCACATGTTATTCGCCAGGGAAAAGGGGCGGTACATCAGTCTTCTATAACTACTTCCTGCTGACGCTGGGCCAACAAAGCTGTCTGGGGGCAGGCATGGGGCACGGCTGGCTGCCGTTGTCCTTTATGAACGTGGAATTGTTGACAGCATTAGCACTTCCACTGAAATTGTTGGTAGTGCTCCCTGAAAAGAGTCCAAGCACACAAGTCAGTTAGGGAGGAGAGAAGGGTAGAAGATAATTTATATAAGGCCCACATCTGGCCTCCCAATGTTGTCATACCCAGGTCCCTATCCGATCTTCACAAGCCCTGCGTAGCCCATCTCGGAAGATCTTGGTGATGACCCAAGGTAGTGGTCAACCTTCTATACTGTCTAGAAAGGCTAGTACAAAGAGGTTGGGAACATAATAAAGGCCATTTTCTGACTGAAGGGGATCTTCTAGAGTACACCCGTTAGGAAAGGCGTGCTCATGGCAGAACAGGTGGACCAGGAGAGAAATACCTGAGCCTGAGGGAAACCAGGAGGTGCCAGGCACTTACTGGGGCCAATCAGGCTTTAATGGAACTAGTGTGGACATTTGACAGTTCTCAGAGGGGTTGGAGGAATATCCACAATCTTCCTGATGAAAACTGGGTGCCATGGGAGTAGGGTCTTATATTCCCTTCTTGCTGGGCCCCTTAGGACAGAGATGACCTCCTGTGTACAATAGATACAGTGTTGAGGAGGATATGTAAGGCAAGCTATTAAAGCCCAATCATATGGGAGGAAATTTTGGGTGAGGAGCCTGAAAAGTTTTGGACCCTGTGTTTTGGGACAGAATGCGTGTCCTGAGGGCATCTTTTAGTCTAAAGGAATATCCTGGGGCTGTGGTCTAGGTTGGAGGGTTAATAGAGTAAAAAAGTAAAGGTTATGATTTCAGTTGGGGTAAAATCTAATAAGGTTCCTTGGAGCCACACGTTAGTGACCCAGTTGGCTATGCAGGTAACAGGACAAGGGTGGGGAGCAAACCAGAGAATATCAATCTATAGATCATTCAGGAAGTGTTCAAACTGAGCTGAGATCTGCGCTATGGTTGATCGGTTGGCTGCCATGTAAACATGGCGGACTCGTTTAGGTTTCCTTCCTGAAGTATCTGCTCGTGAGCTATCTGTCCGGAGACTTGAACAGAGAGGTGGCTGACCTGGGATTGAATAAACTGGAGAACAGGGGGCAGCTGCCAACAGAGTAAGGGTAACCAATAGAGGGGTTATAAAGAGAAGTAAAGAGGTTAGTAGAGGATTGCTGAACCAGCTAGTTAGTTCCCTATTAGTCTCTAACTCAAGCTCCCTGCATCACCATTCCAGGCTTTCCTAAAGTCGTCGGATTTGGTCGGTTACCACTTCTGATTGGTTAACAAAGAAGAAACAGTTTTCCTGGATAGCTAAACAAAGTCCTCCTTTTTCTGCAAATAAGAGGTAGAGGCCTCATCTGTTCTTCAGGACCACCTGGGAGAGTGAATTGATCTGTTGTTGGAGTGCAAGGATCGCCTTAGAAAGTTGGGTAATGTCTTCTTCATGTTCTGTCAGTTGTTTTCCTTGGACATCAAACTGAGACAATCCTGCAGTTCCTGTAACCATACCTACTGTTATGTCCAATGCTGCTGTGAGGAGCATAATGGCCACCTGTAATGATCTATTTTGTCAGGCTCAGGCCATCCTAGTTATGGGGATGGGGACTACTTCATTTCCTGGTATTAAAATCGGAGCCCAACAGGACTGGAGTGCAGAGAGCATTCCAAGAGGTATTAATTCCCGACAAGACAGTTGTTCTTCACAGTATGGTTATGTTGGAGAGGGAGCTGTTTAAGGATAAATGGGTGACATTGGCACAATTAGATATTAGAATCCCTGGTATGGTGATGTCTCCTGTAAGACTGAGCCACACTGGGGCCTGGGTGATTAAATGAAAATTTTGGCCTATAATTTGTATTGGGCCCATTGCTGGGTGGAATGAATGATTCCAGGGAAGGGGCCAAGCCTGTGGGGTGATAAATAGTAGCCCACGGATGCTGCGTCCTATCCAGCAGCCTTTATAGCAGTAGGAGGTGTCAGATAACCAGAAGAAGGTCTTCTGGAGAGATTTAAAAACCCAGAGTGATAATTTTTGTTCTATCCAATCTGGGTTGACTTAGAATTGGGCTGGGGATTGGTCCAAGTGGTGGAGTTCTGATGAAACATCATGTACAATCTGGATAATGGATGGGGTGGAGCAGTCCCAGGTATCCAAGGCCTTCAGGTGATGGTGAACTCCAAACCTGGATCTGTCCCTGTTACATAGAGCCTGAGACCAACGTCCTTCCAGATTGCCGTGATAGATCAGTGGAATCTTTGACTGTGACGTTGAAATTAAGGGCTGAGGATCTTCTAACAATGTAGAGGAGAGACAGATGTGTTGATCTGATTGTGCTGGCTTCCATGGAGCCAAGGACTCACAGCCCCAAGAGGCACAGTGGTATTGGCCGCGTGAATGGTAGTGTGTGGAGCCAGTGGCGGGGCATAGTTAAACATGGAAAGGGTGGCAGAAATCAGCTGTGGGCCAGTCTGAAGGGTGGCAGGAATTTGTCAGGGTTTGGTTAAATAACTGACATAAAGTAACCAGGAAAGTAATATCTGGAGATCCTGTCTGGGTCTGAAGGAGGGCTGAGTTAGGCTGGGAGTGAGTCAAGGTACATGATGAAAATCCATTGGCTTGGGTAAGGTTTAGGAGAGAAAACAGAAGCAGGAAAGGAGCCAATTGGCTCCAACAATTATCAATGGCAATGAATGAGATTATGAGGTAATAAGTCAATATGAGCAAACGCCTAGAAGTAAAGTTATACTTGGAAGGGGCTGCTGTGGCCAATCCAATCCCAAAGACAGAACCCAAGAGCATCAGTAGAAGAAGACTCAGGATATCAGTGGTTGTCTTGGTATTAAAAGTATCATTGACTGTAATAGATTTAAAGCCAGGTGATAGAGACACCCCTAAATATATGACCTGTTGTTTAAAGAGCTGAACTTTGGTTGGCAAGACCCGGTATCCCTTTTCTGAGATGAAATTTAAGAGTGTATAGGTATCTTGTTGAAGTGTAGTTAATGAAGGGGTGCAAAGAAGGAGATCATCTACATTTTGGATACACTGTGAGCTGTGGAGCTGTAGAAAAGACAGATCCTGAGCTAGGATTTGGCCAAACAGATGGGGGCTGTCTCGAAATCCCTGAGGAAGGACTGTCCAGGTTAGTTGGGTAGAAGTTTGGGTGTGGGGATCTGTCCATGTGAAAGCAAAGAGGTCTTGTGAATCAGGATGTAATGGGATAGAAAAAAGGCATCCTTTAAATGCAGCACTGAGAAATAAGTACTGTTAGACAGGATAGAAAACAGGAGGGTATATGGATTGGGGACAGTGGGGTGGATTGGAACAACAGCTGAATTGATGATCAGAGGTCCTGAATTAGCCGATATGTCCCATTAGGCTTTCTGACTGCTAAGATGGTTGTATTGTATGGGGAATTGGTAGGCCTTAAAAATCCCTTTTTTAATAAATTTTTGGTGATCAGAGCCAATCCATCCAAGCTAGAATGAAGGAGGGGCTACTGAGCCTGAGTTGGAAAGTTTGTAGGGTTTTTAAGGAAAATCTTAACTGGAGGGCATTTGGCCACTGAAGGAAATTGAATGTACCACACCTGAGGATTTACTAGGCCAGGGTTGATAGGCCATTTGGATGAGGGATTCTGGGGTTTGATAGTTTGTGACAACAAAAGGTAAAGGGAAGACGTTGGAGTGCTGGAGGGGCCCCGGATGGTGAAATGGATAGAGGTGTCAATTTTGGACTGGATGTCCCCATCCAATAGGGGAATGGGGCAGGAAGGGAGGACAAGCAAGGAGTGAGGAAATGAGAAATCACCAATTGTGCGTGACAGGAGAGGAGTATGTCAAGGGCATTGTTTTTTACCTTCTGCCCCAACAATAGAGGTCTGAGACAGGGAGGTGGGTCCCCAATATTCTCACAGTACAGAAAAACTAGCACCGGTGTCGAGTAGAAAGGTGATAATCTTACCTGTCATGATGAAAGTCATGCTGGGCTCCTGACGGTAATCTGCATTGGGCCAGATAGGCCAGGGCATCTTCATAGATCTGCCATTGCAAGACCGATGAGGCCATTTGGGAGAACGGTAGGGCTGGTGGCCCGATGACGGGTGGACGTCAGGGGGCAGTCAAAACCCAATGTCCCTTCTGTTTGCACTTAGGGCAGGGCTTTGTGAGAGGCCTGGGGTTTGGGCATTCCTTGGCCCAGTGTCCCTCCTGATCACATCAGCAGAAGCAAGGTCCTGGTGGGTGAGAGGGTCCCTTATGAAAGGGTCCCTTGTTATGAGGCCATTGTGGCATGGTAGGATTGATGGCCTGTGCTAGTAATTGGTACTTTTTTATCTTGAGATCATTACAGCTGTGGTAGGCCTTAAATGCCATGTTCAGAACCTCAGAAGGAGGAGTTAGGGGTCCCTTCTTAAGCTTTTTTAATTTAAGTCTAATGTCAGGGTAGCTTTGAGAGAAAAAATGCATCATGACCAGCCACTGGCCATCAACAGACTCAGGGTCCAGATTGGTATAATGACGAAGTCTATCAGTCAGCCTTTGCAAGAAGGCAGAAGGGTTTTCATTTTTGTCCTGTATGATTACATTAAGCTTATCATAATTTACAGATTTCATGGTGGCTCTGCATAGTCGATGGAGCAAGCAGCTAATGTACCTGTCCTGGGCCTCGATATCCATTTTGGAGTTGCAATCCCAATCTGGGTCGTGGTCCGGCATGGTGGCGGCACCTACTGGGTGGTGGTTATTTGTCAAATGATCTTGATCAGCATGGGCACGGGCCTGTTCCAGCCCTCTTTTGCCTTCTTCAAGGGTTAAAGCATTGATAAGGATAACAAAAAGATCATGGCAAGTTAATTGATAGGACTGGGTCAAAAGCTGAAATTGTTTGATGAACGTTGCAGGATTAACTGTGAAGGATCCGAGCCTAACCTGGATAAGAGCCAGTTCTGTCACGGGAAAGGGAGTGTGTACTTGGAAGAGCCCCTCTATTCCGGCAACTTTGTGCAAGGGTGACATCGTGTGGCAGGTTTGAGGAAGTTCCGAGCCAGGTAACAAGATTTGGAGCAGGTGAGAGGAGTCTGACAGGAAGGTGGAGCAGAGGGAGGTGAGGCAGAGAAGCGGGGAGTGGGAGGAGAGGAGGGGGCTGGAGGAGGAGGTTGAGGGGTGGGGTTTGTCTCTTCCTGGTTTCTGAGATGAGGAGGATCATCAGCTGGATCGATCTGGTCTGAGGAGTTGAAACAGAGTAGTGGAAGCAGAGATGTCCCAGCCACTAAAGGTTTGGGGAGGGGAGGCTGCTTTTGAGCGGTAGAGCAAAGAGAAGATTGGCTGCGGAGATAAGAGAAGCCCTGAACATGTGGAATCTCTGGCCATTTTCCTTGACGCTCACAAAAATTATAAAGGTCCCGAATCAGACCAGGTTCGAGAGAGCCGTTAGGTGACCACATGTTTTGGTTGTCTAACTGATCTCGAGGCCAGATTTGAGTGGATAGGTGTATTAGCCATTTAGGTTTTAGGTCTAAGCCCTCCGGATTTCAGAGCAAGCACCCCAAGGAAGAGTCTGTAGGTATGGAAGACCCGGAGCCCATAGTGACCAGGAATGAGACAGTGGGGTGAAGTCCGAGTCCCAAGGTGTCTCTTGAGATTTGGAAGTCACCGGTTTGGTTAAATAGGAGACCCAGACTCCAGATGGAGATGTCTCTACCATGAAGACGGGGTCTGGAGGAGGAGGGCAGAACTGCCTCTCAAGGTGTCCCTAGAGAGGTGGAGGGTGGAGCAGGCAAGTCCCAGACGTGTCCCGGTGAATCTGGAGGCTCACGATGGGAGGCATGAGGCCTGGTACCTTCACATCCTGGATGGAAGTCTTTTTCCTGGTCACTGCGTCCGAGCCCCCCACACCCAAGACAGTCAAGGGGGAAACTTACCTGAGTGCGGGCGATGGGATCAGCCATGCTGGTGTTGCTTGCGGGGGTGGCGTCAGGGAAGATCATCGTGGACATTGGGCGGGTCAGTCAGAGCCTCAGAGGATTTTGGGTTTTGGGCCTCCGACCCTAAGTGAGGGCACCGTCAATCCCGGAATCCACTTCTGACACCAATGAAGACGCACAGCGACGCTCAAACAACTAGGCCACACACCGAGAGGTCTGACAGGAGACTTTATTCAGGAAGGCAGGTCAGGGAGTGAGGAGAGAGGGAGAGAGAACAAAGAAAGGAAGGTCCTTTTACTGTTTTGGGGCTGGGCTGTTGCTTATTTGTGAGGAGTGGGCTACTTTTAACCTACCACAGGCCAGGTTGCCTTTTATGGGCTCAGTCCTACAGAAACTTAGGTTTAACTTCTCTGGACCACAGTGGCTTTGGGGGGAGGGAAACTAAAGATAAGAGCATGAGGTCATTCTAAGAGGCATGAAAAACCAGGAAAATGCAGTCTCAGGTCCCTAACAGCCGAGACCCTACCAACCTGTGCCTTCTCAATCTAAGCCATCTCAGAAAACTAATCCGCAGCTCCAGACCTCTCAGTCTAACCCCTCTCCATCCAAATCTACTCAGCCCTTAGCCAGGCATGGTGGCGCACGCCTGTAATCCCAGCACTCAGGAGGCTGAGGCAGGAGGATCACTGTGAATTCGAGACCAGCCTGGGCTACACAGTGAGTTCCAGGTCAGTCTCAACTACATAGTGAGACCTGTCTCAAACAAACAAACAAACAAACAAACAAACAAACAAATCTACTCAGCCCCAGCCCTCCCAGTCTAAACCTTCTCATTCCAGGTCCAAGTCCTCCCAGGGCAGTACTTCACAGGCTAAGTCATCCCACCAATGGACAAAGAGTAAGAGGGCAGGGAAACATTAAAAAGCATGGTTCAGAAACCTGTTAAATGTGTCCCTTACCCAGACCAGTTTTATCATATAGGAACCTGAAGGATAGATGCAATGAAAGTAAAAGACTGTTGTCATTAGCATGACACAGACAAAACCTAATTGAATTTCATTAAAATACCTGTTAGGGTTGTGTCCCTAAACAAGTGGCAAAATATAAAAGTAAGATAGGATCAAACTATAAATAAATTGATTCCAACCTTGAGTGTAGATAATACATAATTTGAATCCGGGGAATGGGGTCTATTAAACAGCCTCACTTGGAGAAGAATGGATTTGTCTCTAACTGCAAAGAAGTCATGCAATAGATACCAGGTTGCCTCAGTGTTACAAGAAAAATTGCCTTAAATGTTGGCTGCCCCAGAGATGCCTTGGTCACAAATTTCTGCTTTAGCATCAGCAACTGAACAGATAACCCTATGGTATATATTGGGTTAAATAGGTCAACGTGCTTGAGATAATAGCCCCAGTTTGCTTGCTTGATAAAACTGTGTCATTTGATCCTTATAGATGGAAACGATGAATTAAAAACAGTAAAATTAGTTATTTTATGTTAACTTTAGAAATGGTTTATACATATTTCACATTTTAAATATTTGGGATAATTAAGAAAATTTGCCTTATTAGATAATCTCTTATTAGTTCATGATTCCGATTAAAATGTGTCCTTGTGTTAATTTTAAAGGTAAAATTAATTTGAAAAGATTAAGATAAGAACAGTGTTTATAAAAAGTATTGAAATGTTTAAGAAAACAAATTTATAGAACTTATGATTTCACTAGTCATATTCTAAGTATTTGACCAAGTTCTATTTAGCAGTAGTGCAAAAAATAAATAGATTTAAAATATTTGAGTACATCTAAATTTTGAGTAAAACTAAATTTTAAAATGGACAAATATTAATAAAAGATTACCTTTAAAGTAGGTGTTAAATTCACCAGGTTTTGAAATAAAACAAAAAGATTTACAAATTAACCTGAATAGCCTCACTTTAAAATTTGTAACTTTAATAAAATTGCCATGAATTTTAAATGCTAAAATAACTTCAAGTAGTCTTTTGTAGGCTTAATATAATGCCATCATAGATACTATACACACACACACACACACACACACATATATATACACACATGAGAATGACATAATCTTTGAAAAGGAATAACTAATTTCTGAGAATATTCTAATATCACAATAGATATCCTTCATTAGCTTTTGCATGTATTTAATAATGTTAAATGTTAACAATGTCTTAGTCTAATGGTTTTTGTAAGATGAAAGAAATAGAGAACAATCCACGTGAATTTTGTTTTCAATTGTAAATTTGCATTTTTATTTTTGGCAGAATAGAAAACATGATTACTTGTAGTTCATAAGTCAAAACCTTTTATGCAAATGGCTCAGCTGAAAATAAATTTTTTGTTTAATTTTTGAAATTAGCAATTTCAAAATTGCTGTGATTATTTTTAAACATTTATCTGAATCCTTTTTCAGGATTGGAACTTGCTGGACTCTTACTGCTAACAAATTTGGTACAGTCTGGATCTTGACAACACAATTCTATATTAAAATTGGGCAATTTGAGGATCTTTTAATAAAGAGACTATTTATAAGGAGTTGAACAAGTTGTGAAAAAAGAAAATGAAAAGGGGAGGGCAGTGTCCTGGATTCAGTGAAATCAGACTGGGATAGTTGCTTTTCATTATTCTCATTGATTCTCCTGCTGGAAAATTGGGCACTACAAAGCTGTTGTAGCGAGGTACTAACGAGGTAAAAACTTTTATGCATTTGATTAGTCTTGTTCTAACTAGGTTTCTATATCTAGCATTTCTCACTTTGTCTGCAAGTTTTGTACTTGAGTTTAAAAGAACTTAAATTTTTCAGAATATGCGTCTTTCTCTTTGCTCCCTAGCTGGACTTAATTTTTTAAAATGCTCTTTCCCTGTTGCTGATGTCACTAGTGTATATACTATCATTCATTCAGCGCTAGTAGCGATTAATGCAGTTAATTTGGGGGCTCTGACTTAACACTGTCATTCAACTCAGGGCCTTCACACTGAGCGACATCCTCAGCCCTTTTTATTTTTTTAATGCTTATTAGTATATATTTGATGTACAGATGCTTATATTCATCGTGGGAAGTTCATGCATGTACTTACATATTTTAATTCCTTTTACTTCCCCTTGCTCTTCCTTTCTTCCCCTTCCCTCCATTTCTAGTTCCCCATTCCTTTGTCTCCATATTTTGTGCTACAAATCTGTCCTCTTTTAGTTATTCCTTGCGTTTCTCATATGAAAGGAACCATACGTGTCTGACTTGTTTCACCTAACATTATAGTCTTAAATTACATCCATTTTTCTCCAAGATGACTAAAATTTCTTTTTCTAATTCATCTTTAAAAAAAATCCAAGATAGCATAATATTTTCAAAACAATTTCAAACACTGTAAAAATAAATGATGTAGGAAGTCTTTGTAGCTAGCAAGAGTTCCCCATGTGGGCTGCACATTGCAATAGCCTGAGGAAGACTTAGAGAAATTCTGTTCACCAGCCCACAGTCCATATCAAAGACATTGGTACCTGTGAGAATGGCATTCAGATGCTAGTATTTCTAAAGCTCTGTAGTGGTTTCCAGTGTGTGGATAAGGTTAAGAACTACTGCTCCAGGACTTAGTCCCACCTGCTGTTGTCTGGACCAGCAGCATGTGCATGGGCATTCAGCAGAATCTGAGTTCAGTGTTCATGACCTGAAGCATAATCTGCTTCCTTCTCTCCCCTTCCTTCCTTCCTTCCTTCCTTCCTTCCTTCCTTCCTTCCTTCCTTCCTTCCTTCATTCCTCCCCCCCTCTTTTTTCCCTGTCTCTTTCTTTCTTTCTGATTTTTTTTTCCAGGGAAGTAGAGAGGTTATTTGCTAAAAACTAAAGGGGCCTCTCATTTTTTCCCCTTACCCCTGCCCTCCCTTCACCCCTTCCTTCCTTCCCTATTTACAAATGCTTTATTTCCATTTTTTCATTTTCACATATTTTTTTTCTTTTCCTTTGCCCTACCCTTCCCACTTCCCCTACACCTTTAACCCTTTTCTTCCTATTTCACATTGTCAATTATATCACTAGGATCTTATGTACAATTATAGTTTTTCACATCAGAGAGACTATTCGGTATTTACACATGTGTTACTTATTTATTTCACTTAACAGTATTACCAATAAACTCAATGAGAAAAAAAATAAAGGGAGTTAAGATGAATAATGGCTATCAAACACCTACTATGTGTCTTAGGGGATATACATGCAAAAATTATGAGCATGGGGTTACAGGTCAGTGGCTGGGGATATAGCTCAGTGGTAGAACACTTGCTTAGTCTGAGGAAGGCTCTGCATTCAATCTTGTTACCACCTGCAAAAACTTATGTGTAATTCCTTCCATATCCCTCTTGTAATTGTGATGTGCAGGTGAAGACATGGTGCCCCATGGCTTTTCCTTTGCTCAGTGTCTGAGCATCTTCTCTGAGGTTCCTTTTGTTTTTTCTTTTTTTCTCTCTCATTGAATTTATTGGTATATTTTAGGTATAAAGTGCAGTTACATTCATCATTGGGATCTTGTACCTTTACATGACAGGTCTTGGTTCTCATTTTTTCCCCTTGTCCCTGCCCTCCCTTCATCCCCTTCTCCCCTCTCTGAAGTTCCTTTTCTACTTTTTTTACTCCTTTGATGGTATCACTCAGTTCCCTGATGTAAATAAATATTACTTACATGATTTTGACCTTCAGATTTTTATTTCTAGTCCTATCCTGGGTTGTAAGCTCCATTACATTGTTTATTTTATATTTCTTTACAGGTTTATGATAGGAATTAGCATTTACCATGAGCAAGATAGATGTCTTCCCAAATCTACACCCATCTCCACACAAGCCCCATTACTATCATAATAATGCCCAAATCCCAAGAATTACCTTGCAAATGCTTTTTCCCCATCATTTGCCCTATGACCCTATATCAAGTATCTAGAAAGTCAGTTTGCTTTCTATAGTATTCTGTTTCCATCCACTTTAGTTTTCACTACCACCTGTGCAGTCCAAGACACTATCTCATCCTACATGGCCTGCAATAGAATTCTATGCTGTCTCCATTTCCACTATGTTTTTCTTGCAACTCATTTTCTGCATTTTAGCCAGAGTAGGGCATATGTGTTTATGGGAAGACCGAAAGATACAGACATAAATAGCATTTTATATCATTTACTTATCCTATCATAACTATAACAGATCCACACATTAGCAGTAAGAATTCATCTTTTTCCATCCATCTCCCCACTTCCACATTTTTAAAAAGTGTTTCAAAGGGAATATAGAATATATTATTTCAACCATAAATACTTCAGTAGCTATCTCCAACAGATAACAATTTTAAAATCTATAACCAGAATGCTATAATGGCACCTAAAAATGAACATTATTTCTCAGTATCATCCAATATGATTAGTTACTTAATTATCTGTAAGTATATTTACATTTCCCAAATGTTTAAAAACTATGTTTCCATTTGGTTCACGTAAATTGGGATCTACACATTTCATTTGCTTGGTATGTCTGGTAAGTGGTTTTATTTTGTAAGACAATACCAGTATTTTCTTTTTATCTGTTTTCTGAAGAAATAAAAAACAAGTTATTTATCCCATAAGAAGATATCATGTTCTATCTTTAGCTAGTTGCTTTATT